AAGGAGTTAATTAGCCGGAATCTTGTCATTTTACTACAGAAGCTTGTTCTTTTGTTCAAGTTGTCCATTGTTGTGCATCTGGCCGAGTAGAAAGTACTCAGGCAAATCCAAACATGTCTACTTACATTAATAGAATCTACGATTATTAGGCTTTATAAACCATCGCGGTGTGCACGAAAAACGTACACACCTAATATGGTTTTAAAGGAAATATGGCTTAGTAGCTCTTTACCCAATTTCATTCTTATTTTATTTTCAATTCTCGTATTTCTCATGCGCACATTTACGATGTTAGCCCAGTTAACTATCGCATTTTGGCCAGATTAATGAAAATAAGACTTACCTAGGGTAAATTACCACTTCTGGTGTACCTTTGCATATATTTTTTCCGATTTTTTTTAGCTGTACTAACTTATGTTTCATGCTCGGATTTTCTTATAGGCTATGAAATAGCGTGCACATCAGTTCTAACGATTGGAGTTGCGAGACAATTTTGTTGTTGATCCCTGAGTTCAAAGCTCTGCGATTTGTTTTTTAAAGTGGGGTTTTGAGAATACTAGTATACGTGAATAAGAACTATCTTCACCTTATTTCGTTCAAGATGATAGACTGGCATTTGCATTTTACCACAATTTACTGAGTAGGCCCGAAGCTTCCATTGCATTTCACATAGCTTTGCTTTCCAAAATATCCAGAGTACCTTTTGTATAGCAAGGCTAGGTCAAATACAATGGAAGCATAGGGCCTACTCATATCATTTTGGGAAAATTCAACGACCAGTGCTTTATTACTTTAAAAAAAATAGGATGAACATTTCTCATTTTCGATTCCATATATTACTATTCCCAATCAAGACCTAAATCCAACACACTCCATTTTCCAAATTTCACGAAGGCCAACATTACTCTGGCAAGTCCCAGATTTATTTTACTAAAATCAGAGACTATCTTGATTCGAACCTGGCCTTGACATTCTTCTCGACATTATGTTTCCCTTGTTCTCCACTCTTTATATTCATTTTTACTCCTTTGCTGACAGGCTTCGATGGCGGGGTCTCATTTAGTGCCCGCTGGAGTCTCGCCTGAAGCGTATGCTATGGCTCTCCATCACGCACACGCTCATCGGGTCCAAGCCTGTATGCCACTAGGTGGTCATATGCTACAGACGACGCCTCCACCACCGCTGCCACAGCAGTCCAGCCAGACACCTGGTCATCCTTACACACAGTACACTCATTCAAACACCCATCATAGTCAGTCCCAGCAGCAGCAACAACAA